CCCCCCCCCGAGCACCGCCCCGGGGCGGGGAGGAACCGGCAGCGCCGGCCCCGGGATCCCCCGCCCAACCTTGCCCGGGCCGGGGGCGGCCGAGGAGCTGCGGGGGGAGCGAGAGGGGGGGGTCCGTGCTGGGGGAGGCTGCGGGGCTGGGGCTCGTTTTGTACCGGAATAAAGCGCGTTTTTCCACGGCCCGGTTCTCCGTCTCCTTTTTTTTTGAGGGGGACGTCCGGCAGGGTCTCATCCTGCACCGCTGGGCGCCATCGGACCGGGGTGCACCGAAGGGGGGGTGGCGCGTCCCGGTGCCACCGCCCTGCGACCTCCGGCCACCGGGCGCCGCCGTCGGCCGAACGGAACGGGACGGGGCGGGCGGGGACGAGGAGGGCGGAACCGGGAGTCGAGGGGAGGAGACGGCACGGAGGCAGCGGCAGGTCCGGGGCCGCAAGTCCGGTAACGGGGATCGTCCGGGTCGGGAGTCCGGTAGCGGGGTGTTGGTACGGGGGGTCCGTTCCCGGTCGGTGCGGGGGTTCCGGTTCGTGCAGAGCTGCCGGGCTCCCAGACAGGAGATGCTGGGGAAGGTGGGGGGCCCCCCCCCCCCCCCCCCCCCGGGGGCCCGGGGGCGGGGGGGGGGGGGCCCGCGGGGGGGGGGGGGGGGGGGGCCGGGTCGGGGGGGGGGGGGGCCCCCCCCGGGGGGGGGGGGGGGGGGGCCCCCCCCCCCCCCCCCCCTTCGGGCCACCCTCCACGTTCGGTGCTGTGCCCCAGAATTGGGGCCGCTGCTATCCGTGTCCCACCTCACACCGCAGGACCCCATCTGTCCAACGGCTGCCAGCACCGAGGGGGACCCTGAGGGCAGCTGCACGGCCCGGACGGACGGACGAGGGGTGACGCTGCCGTCGGTGCCCCGGTTCAGGATGGCAGGCCGGGATCACGCACCCTCATCCTGCGACTGCTTCGTGGCGCTGCCTCCGCACACCGCAGCGCCCGCTGTCGTCTTCGGCAAGAACGCCGACCGCCCGCGGCACGAAGTGCAGGAAATCGCCTACATCCCCTCCGCCGTCCATCGCCCCGGGGACAAAGTGCAGGTGAGAACCGTGCCAGGGCAGCGGCGTGACGGCTCTCGGTGTCCCCGTGCCAGCGGTGTGATGAGCGCGCTGGGTCTCAGCCCTGCCGTCTCCCCTCAGTGCACCTACATCGAGATCGAGCAGGTGGAGCGGACCCACGCGGTGGTGCTGAGCCGTCCTGCCTGGCTGTGGGGTGCCGAGATGGGTGCCAACGAGCACGGTGTCTGCGTGGGCAACGAGGGCGTATGGACCCGTGAGCCTGTTGGGGAGGATGAGGCGCTGCTGGGTATGGACCTGGTGAGGTGAGGAGCATCCCCTCATCACCCCGCAGTTCCCCTGGGGTGCACGTGGCCCATGGGGTGCCGCCGTGCTGCAGGCTGGGCTTGGAGAGGGGCGGCTCTGCCCGGGAAGCATTGGATGTCATCACAGCCCTGCTGGAGAAGCACGGGCAGGGTGGGAGCTGCAAGGAGGAGCCCACACCATTTGTGTACCACAACACCTTCCTGCTGGCTGATCGCCACGAGGCCTGGGTGCTGGAGACGGCCGGCAGCTATTGGGCAGCCCAGCAGATCCGAGGTGAGCAGGCACCGGCGGTGGTGGGAGCCTGTGAGCGCACACTCAGCTTCAGGCAGGGTTAATTTGGGGAGCCCCATCCCCCGGGGTCTGCCCCATACCTGACAAATCCTGAGCTCCACAGAGGGCAGCCGCAATATCTCCAACCAGCTCAGCATCGGGACGGACATCACAGCTGAGCATCCGGGGCTGCGGCAGCGAGCCCAGAGCCAGGGCTGGTGGAGCGGGGCTGGCCAGTTCAGCTTTGCTGAGGTCTTCTCCCTGGCACAGCAGCCACCACGCATGGAGGCTGCCAAAACCCGCTATCGTGCTGGCAAGGAGCTGCTGCAGCAGCACGCAGGTGAGGATGGGGATGGCAAGAGCAGCCCCCAGCTTGCTCCATGGCAGCCAGCAGCGACATGGGTCTGCTTTGCCTACCAGGACACATCACAGCAGAGACATTCATGGCCATCCTGAGGGACAAGGACAGCGGCATCTGCGTGGACTCGGAAGGTTTCCGCACGGCGGGCAGCATGGTGTCTGTGCTGCCCCAGGACCCTGCCTTGCCCTGCATCCATTTCTTCACAGCCACTCCGGACCCTTCCAGGTGAGGACTCCAGGATGATGAACACGAGACACAGCCGTGCCCTGGGCTGAGCGTCCCTTCTGCTTTCCACCAGGTCTGTCTTCAAACCCTTCATCTTCGTGCCCGGCCTTAAACCTGCACCGCAGGTGATTTCTCCCACCTTCCGTGACGACCCTGCCAAGAAGGTGCCACGCTTCCAGAGCGCCGTCGATCGGAGGCATGAGCTTTACCGCCGGCACCAGGCAGCGCTGGAGCTGATGGAGAAGGACCAGGTAGCAGCGAGCCCTTCCCGATGGCCCTCGTTCTGTCCCATGGCAACGTGGGAGGCGGTGGGATGTCCTGATGGCTCCCATCCTCAGCTTTTTTTTGTCCCCAACCCCACCAGGCGCGGGGCCGGGAGCTCCTGCAGACGCTGCGGGACCTGGAGAAGCAGGGCTTGGAGGCAGCGAACGCGCTGCTGGCAGGGAACGTGGCGCCAAGGCCGGAGGAGCTGGCTGAGCTCTTCTTCGACTGCGTGGATGCAGAGATGAAGTTTTACAAATAAACCCCACGCAGGTGGGTTAGGAGAGGAGAGGAGCTGAGGTCGGGCTCCAGCTCAGAACCCACAGCACTGTTCCCACCTGGGGGTGAGAAACCCTTCCTGGTGCCCCGTCCTGGTTCCTCACCTCCTCTCGTTTTGGAGCTGTGGAGGGGAATGGCTCCACCAGCACCTCCAGCCCTGAGCAATCAATCAGTGCTTGTGGTGTGAAAGGGGGGGTCCAGGGAGGGGGGGGGTAGGGTTCCCTTTCTCAGCTTGGCACGTTGTTCCCACCATTAGCAGAGCTGCTCACGTTCAGTCCCTCAGCAGAGGACCCAGGCTGCAGGGCTCTGCAGCAGACAGAGATCGACGTAAGAATAAAGAGGCTTTAATTCCAACTGTGCAGCACTGTGCTGGTGCCACGTACCTGAGGTGCTGCCTATTTCCCTGCCCCTTTGGTACAAGGTTCCCCTTGCAGGGCTGTGGGCCGGGGTTGGCTCAGGATGGCAGCTGGTTTTGGCTGCTGGCTTTGTCCAGGCTTTGCCTGGGGATGGAGCTGAGACTGCCCAGGGCCAGGGGCTGTGCTGGTTCCTGGGCTGGGGGGCAGGCAGCTCTCTGTGCCCAGTGAGCACAGCGATAAGGGGGGCAGCAGCAGACCCCTGTGCTCCTGCAGCTCCCGCAGACGGGCCTGGTGTTCCTCCAGGGCCTCCCTCTGCCTCCTCTGAGAGCGCCCAGCCAGCTCCTGCTGCAGGTCTGTGAAGAAATCTGCCAGGGATGGTGGGAAGGAGGGAGAGAGGAATGAGAAGAGAGCTCGCCACAGCCAGCTGAGCTCCTTGGTGTTTGTGTCACCCGTGGGGACACAGAGACCCCCAAGCATGCAGCATGTCTTGCTTCAGTCTGGGCACCTTTGCCTGTGGTGAACGGGGCACCCAGCTCAGAGAACAACTCATCGTCGCTATCCTCACTGCTGGAGCAATGTTTCTCCTCCTCTTTCTCATCTGGGACAGGATCCACGCAGCCATGGAGGGGCTGGGAGTCCAACTGCAGTAGATGGGGCAGGGCTCCCACCACCAGCTCCCTGCAAGCAGCAAGCAAACAGCAGACATGTTGGGAGAAGCACCGCAGCCCCCCCTGCCCCACCTGGGCAGATGCAGGCTCAGATTTCCTGGGTCTGGGTGAGGTGTTGAACACAACATTTGAGCTCACAGGGTTTTGGGGGCTTGCTCTCCCCCCCCTGCTCACCGTTTGGGGCTTTCCCAACCCACCTGTAGCCGGGTTGGTGGGTGCATTCATTTCCTGTCAAGTCCAGGAGGCGGAGGCTGCGGGGCAGCTCATCTGCACACATCAAAGGGAGGAAAAAAGACATTGAGAAGGGGGCTGAGCCCCACCTGCTCCGTGTGTGCAGCAAACCCTGCGTGCTGCTGCTGCCTCCTGGAGTGCTTCACATGCATTCCTGAGGCCACAGCCCTGCCGTGGGAAGCTGCCTCTCATCTCAAAGCTGGGGAAACTGAGGCAGGGAGGGAGGGGACACGTATTCCATACAATCTGATAGTGAGAAAAGAGGCTTCTCCCTTTCCCAGACTGTCACTGTTGCCTTTCTCACATCTGTCTGCAAACAGAAGATAGCACACTAGAAACACTGCAGAAGAGCAGAGGGAAAATGCCTCTCCATCCCTTCTCTTTGTGCCAGAAAACATCCAGGAGAGGATCCTCCCAGAAGGCTGAGGCAGTGTGAGCCTATCTGCACCATCTCTGCCTTGTAGGGGCAGGAAACACCTTCTGGGTTGAAGAGGGCTGGAGCGGTTCAGGTTGAGATCCCCGAGGCTGCCAGGAGCTGCTTTCCATGTTCTGCTGAAGCAGAACACAAGGTGGAAGCAGACACCTGGAGTTTGCTAGGGGAAAGGCTCACTCAAAGCCACCTGTGGGGCTCCCAGTGCCCTGCTGAGACACACACCCCAACCCCAGGATGGCTGTGCTGGAGTTCTGCTGGGACCCAAGTGCTTCAGAGTGCAGGGACAGGGCCAAGGCTCTGCTGGTGCCACCCCACCTGCATCCAGAGTCTGGATCTGGTTCTGGGACAGGTCCAGGAAGCGCAGGTGTTGCAGGGGCCGTAGGTTCTCCACCTTGCGGATGCAGTTTCCAGCCAGTGAGAGGAACCTGGGGAGCACAGGGAGGGCAGAAGCAGGAGCTGTGACCCCCCTCTGGAGATGGGACACTGTGGTCCCCAGGGTGACAGCCGTGCAGCATTGCTGGTCTGAGGATGGCAAACCCTTGTGACAAACCACTGCAAAGTCATCCTGTAACTTGAATGCTCCCTTGATCACATGCATCCCCTTAGTGGCACTCACTGCAGGTTGGCAAAGCAGTCCAGGTTCTCAATTTTCTCAATTCGGTTCTGGGGAAAAACAAAACAAAACAAAACAAAAAAACAAACACAACACAACAACATGATTTTCTACTGCATGGAAAATCAGAGTTCAGGAGCACTCCAGAATCATTCCAATCTCATGTGCAACAACAGTGTTCACCATCTCCTCTAGGAGCTTTATGGAGAGGGTGTGGGGGCTGCATGGGAGCTCCAGTAGAACTAAGGCTCCTCAGTTGGGTTTAGAAAAGCCAGAACCTCACTCAAATTATGTCATAGGAAGGGAGAACCAGAGGTCTCTCTGGCAGTGCTGGGGGGCAGAAATGGGGGTGTTTATGCTGGCCCCAAAGGAGGCTGTTCCCCATAGGACCAGGCTCTGCCTGCTACCTTACCCGCTGCAGGTAGAGGCTGTGAATCCCCGGCAGGCTCCCCAGCCTCCCAGTGGTGCAGATATCCTCCCGGTCCAAGCGGATGGTCTGGAGGGCTGGCAGCTCCTCGGAGCTGGTGAAAGGATTGTTCTGAGGGAGCCTGTTGTGCCCACCCTCCACCTGCTGGTCTCCCCATGGTTTCTCACCAGCTCTCTGGTCTCACGGTCTCCCCCAGCCCAGGAAAGCTCCGTGCAGCCATAAGGCGGTCAGTGAGGGTCACCCCCAGGGACATCTGCTCACAACCTGGAGGAAACCAGGCTCAGCAGCGGCTTCAACCCCCTGCATCCCAGTCAGCAGGCTCTGTGACGGCACACTCACCCCCAGGCAGAGCCTCCTCCTCCCCAGCCACGGTGGGTGCTGGCGAGCAGGATCTCTGCCCCCTCGTCGTGACCTTGTGCTGTGCGGATAGGGGGATGCGCGGGAGGGCTGGGGCAGACATGTCGCCTCCGTGAGGGGAAAAGGCACCGGGTAGAAAGAGAGAGGCAGCAATGGGAGGGGAATAAACGGGGAGCGGGAACAGGCGGGAACAGGAGGGCCAGGGATGCGCCGGGCCGGGTGGGCAGCAGGCCCAGCCCAGAACACTGCGACCCACAAGCAGGCCGCAGCGCGCCGGTTGCTAAGAGACGGGACGCGCCGGAAGGAGCGCACCGGAAGGGGCGGGGCTTTACAGCACCCCGGCGCATGCGCGCAACCGACGCCCCGCCTCCCCACAAGGCTCCGCGCATCCGCGGCAAAGATGGCGGCGCTGAGCGGCCCTGCGCCGTGGCGGCGGGGTGAGTGCGGGGCTCGGGCGGGCACGGTGCTCCTTTCCGCGGCCCGGCTCCCTCCCTGCTCCTCCTGAGCGCTTCTCTGTCCCCGCAGGCTGGCTGCCCGCCCTGCAGCTCGTCCGGCGCGCCTCTAAGGCGGTCACCCGGCACTGGAAGGCCATGCACTTCCAGCGCCAGAAGCTGATGGCCGTCACCGAGTACATCGCGCCGAGGCCCGCCGTCCCCGAGCGCTGCCTGCCTGCTAAGAGGAAGGCGGAGAAGGAGGAGGAGGAGGAGGTAACGCTGGGCCGCCCCAGGAGCTGCGGGCTGCACGCTGTAGGCCCCGTGCAGGCCCAGCGGTGTCCCCCAGGTGCGGGGCCGTGGCGCTCCCGTGGCCGCTTCCTCTCTGCAGGAGTACGGCTACGCCCGGCTGCTCCGGCGGCAGGTGGAGGAGGTGTTCCGGGACAACCGGATGGTCGCGGTGTGTCAATACAACTACATGCCCGGGGAGGATATGGTGCTGATGAGGCACTACCTGCGGAAGCACAATATTGAGGTCAAATTCGTCCTGAACGAGGTAGGGGGCTGGGGAAGCTGCAGGGCTCCCCCTGCTGCAGCCCCCAGGCCTCCTTCCCCTCCACTGAGTGCTGCCTCCCACAGATCGTCCGCCCAGTGCTGTCCCAGTCTCGCTATAAGAACCTCCTCCCGCTCTTTGTGTCCCGCAATATCCTTCTGGTGAGCCCAGAAACGAAGGCCAAGGAGATGCTGCGCATCCTGAAGGGAGTGCCGCAGATCAACCTGCTGGGTGAGAGCCCGGGGCTCCTGCATGATGCAGCTGGGGGAGGAGAGGTTGGATATCGGGAACAGGTTCTTCACCAGAGGGTTGTGGGCATGGACCAAGCTGCCCAGATCATGGTACCGAGTTCAGGAAGCATCTGGATGGCATTCTTAGCCATGTGATCTTTGGGTGGTCCTGTGTGGATCCTTATGGGTCCCTTAAACCTCGGGATATTCTGTGATTCTTTGAAGTGGTTCCCCAGGCGTGAGGAGGAGATGGGGGCAGAGCAGCTGCTTGTGGGGTTGCAGCTGTCCCCTGTCCCCATCTTGGCAGCCTTCAATGCCAGGAGCTCCAGCACAAACACTTCAGTCCTCGCAGCACACTGCTGCCCCTCAGCTGTGCCTGCTTCTCTTTCAGGTGCCTGCATTGACGACACCATCCTGAGCAGGCAGGGGGTGGAGAACTTTGCCAAGCTCCCCTCACTGGAGGCCTCGCAGGGGCAGACGCTGGGCGCCCTGGCACTCCTGCCCTCCCAGACGTGTTCCATGCTGCAGCACGGAGCCGCACACCTCACAGCACTGCTGGACGGGCACATCCACCAGCTGCAGGCTGGGGCTGGCAAGACAGAGAGCCCAGCAGGGACAGAGCCTGCCCAGAGCTCGGGGACACAGTGACACTCATCCCCAGCCCCCAGTTGTGCCCATTCACCAGCTGTGCTTGCAGGCAGGGCTTGGAGGTTCAGCCATGCATGGGCAACCAGCAGTGGGTCTGAGTGCAGCGCTGCTGGCCCAGCTCATCCCTTTGCTCCGCTCCAGTGCTCTCCATCCAGTCTGCATGCACCAGTGGCACATGGGGTCAGCCCAGCTGTGCTTTGGGTGCTGTGGGACGTGCTGAGGGAAGCTCTGGTTCTGACTGAAGGGGGCAGAGACCTGTGGCAGTGCTGGCACGGAGGACATCCAATGCTCTGAGCCACCAGTGGCGTGCAGGAGTGTGCTGCAGCTCTCCCTGTATGGCGGGCATGGAGCTGAGCGCGTGGGGCTGCTGGCTGTTGCATTAAAGTTGGCTGCGTGGTGGTAGCGAT